TGTAACTGCTTATAAAACACTGAAAAGACAGTATTGATATTTTTTTATGTTACCTGAATTATTCCTCCTGTATTTTTTATTGCGTGTACCATAGTTGAAGAGGACTTTTGGGTCATCCTATACTTGAGCATTTTTATTGATTTAGGGTTTTAACTAAATATTTTTGTTTTAAAAACATTAATTGTTTTTGCACTTTTGACGTTTCCAAAAACTATTTTTTTTCATTCTTGGTTTAATTTTTTTAGATTTTTTTTACCTCCAAATTTTATGTGTTTTATTTCTAATTTCTTAATAGTTACTTGTAGTTCATTAATAACTTTTTGTCTTTCTTTCTTTAGGGAGGAAGATAAAGCTATCATGCATCCCCTTGTTATTGCTTTAAAATCATCCCAGATATTAGATTGGGAAGCTTCACAATTGGAGTTAAATCTAAAATATTCTTTAATGGAAGATTTTAATGTTTCACAGATTTCTTCATTTTGTAATAAAAGTTTGTTTAAACTCCAACTGAAGCCTATTCCATCATTTTGTTTATTTTGAATCGAGCACGAAACCCATGCATGGTCAGAGATAGTGCAGATACCAATATCTGCTGATAAAATCTGGTTAATAAAAGTTTTAGTAGTTAATAAATAATCTATGTGGGTGTATACACTATCTCTAGGGGAGAAATATGTGTATTGCTTTATGTTAGGATTACAGATTCTCCAAATGTCACACAAATTATAAAAATTCAAAATATCTTCCAATTCAGTTTTTTTTAAAAAATTTCTTTTTGCTACGTGGTTTATGTGTTTTATCCCAATTCGGGTCACTTATATAATTAAAATCACCACCAATTAGAATTTCCCCATGTTTAAAATTTGACAACAGTTGCAAGGTTTCCTTTAGAAAAGTTATCTGATCCTGATTAGGGGTATATACAAATGCTATGGTCAGTGGAGTGCCCTCTAGTGTCCCCTTTACAAAGATATAACGCCCTCTAGGATCTTTCTTTTTTATGTAAATACTTTTATTTCCCTCTCCTAAAAAGGAGAGAAGTTTTGCTTATAGAGAAAAATAGGGGGGTATATAGAGGGACAAAGAAAAGTGTTGAGTGCTGTTAATACTGGTATGTTAATCTGTTAGTATTAAAGTTAAAGTCCAGCTCAAAATTTATGACTTCTTCTGTAGTTGGATAAGTGTCCATTTCAAATCTGGCAATTAGTATGTTAGTAAAGTCCTTTTGGAGTTAGTATATCTTCTTTAGCACATCCAGATAAGTCTTTATTTTTTGAGATGTTTTTCTTTTTTCTCTCGTAAGTTATATTTTAGTCCTCCGGCTGCTCCTTTTTCTTCCTCTTCTTTCACCTCCCCTTCCGAGCTGCTGCTTTCGTCGCTTTTCCCTGACATCCACTCGGCGAGTTCTGCTTCCTCTTCTGTGTTGGCATGCCTCTTCAAAAATTCTTTTGCCTTCAAGATAGAGTCAATCTTTTCTCTTCTGTCTTTGAATTTACAGACCAGTCCTTCTGGCGTTAACCACCTGTAGCTAATTTGACGTTTTTGTAAGAACAAAGTCAGTCCTTTATATTCTTTTCGCTTCATTCTGATTTCAAATGGAATATCTTTCAAAACTTGGATTGATTGTTCTCCAATTTTCAAGGGTGTTGCTAATATTGCTTTTAATATTTGATCCCGGAGACGTTGCTTGGTGAATTTCACCACGACTTCTGCTGGCAGCTTGTTCTTCTTCGTGAAGTTGGAGTAGGCTCTATAGGCCAAATCCATCTCTTCTTTTATGTTTTCCCTCTAGGATCCTTCTTAATCTGTTGACATTGGAATGGGACATTTTTCGATACTAAAATAGCAGTTCCCCTGGACTTTGAAGATCCTGGAGCATGAAATTGTTGGGCACTTAGTTTTCAATATTGGTCCTTCTACTGTTTTTAAACGTGTTTCTTGTATACATAGAATGTTTATATGCTCTTTTGTCCAAAAATTTGCTGTACGCTTTAATTTTATTTTATCATTAAGACCTCTTGCATTCCAAGTTGCTAGCTGTAACCTTTGAGTCATATAATTCTGTGGCTAAAATAGGCCTTGACAAAACAAAAGTCAAATTCAATAATTTGCAGCCTTATAAAACAAGAAGAAAAATACTATTTCTTCTTCCCTTACACTAAACCCTCCCTTCTTCCTATTATAACTCTTACACCACCCTTTAGCTTACTCTTTTACCTTTTTATTCTCTGTCTCTCTTTCTAAAAAACTGAACTACAGAACATCACTATAATTCCAAACTCCCCCTGTTTAAAACAGGGTTACTATCTAGAAAGCCAGGCTTAAATTAGCCCTGGCTATTAGGGCTGCCTCTAACTGGCACCCTAGCTAGAAACGTTTCTTCCCAAAGAGGGGATTTAATAATAAGATATAAATAACTTGTGTAAGCACTAACCATCCCCCTCCTCCATTCACAGAATTAAAAAACTCTTTGTCTTATTTATTCAATAATTTCTAGTACACTACTAGTTCTTAATTTATGTACAAATAAAGAATATATTATCCAAATAATCACGTTAACTCATAATCCAAATTGAGTCATCATACTTATATTGTCTAGTATCCAAAACAAAATAATTGAACTCATGCTTAGGACCTATATGGTGAAAGACTCGGTTTAAAACTAAATGAATTGGTATTATTACATACCCTTTATGCTATGACATGATCAATACCTAAAGTAATAAAACATAAATATTTTACTATTTTTAACTCCAACATAGTATTTTAACTGGCAAAGCTTAGAATTTTATAAGTCATTTAAATTATTTCCACAGTAAATGAAATCAAATATTTTCATACATTACTGTTAATACATCCCTTCTTTACTCCAGTAAGATATTAAGTCATACCCTATAGACTTCATCAAAGTAATAATGGATATAAAGTAAATTATGAAGTTATCTTATAGATCCTTCTAGTAGAATGATTTGGCAAAAATACAAAAATAACAAAGCATGGGTTGATTAACTATTCCTTAACCATATCATTATAACGTAGGCATAAACCTTAAAGTTTTGGGTTTTTTGTTTTAAAAACCCTTATAAATACTTTTCTAGGTAAATAAGATCAGTTGTGTCCAAAAAGTTATTTCTAACATATTTCTTTTTATATCTATTTAGGTATTAACTCATACCCTTTATTTTCAACAGATTAAATAATAAGTATAATATAAATTTATTGTATGAACTTGCACTTTAGCCAACTTAATCAATAACATAGGTTTTTTTCCTTTGTATATACTTCTCAAAGCCTTTAAGTTTAGTCAATAATTCTATAATAACCAAAGTAAATATTACTATGAGGAAAGTATTACTTCATACCTTCCTTTGTTTATTATTTGTGGTCTTTGCCTCAGAGCTCTTACTTTAAAACCAGGGGTCTTGTTGTAGAAAAAGAGCTGCCGGAGCTCATTAGCATAACTCATTAGCATAACTTATTTGCATATGCCACGCCCCCTGACATCACCTGAAGTGACAGAAGGCCACACCCCCTGACATCACCGGAAGTGTGTCAGAAGGCCCGGCTACTTACCCTCCTGCTTCATCCTCATTCCCAAACGGAATGAGGATCGAAGCAGAGGGCGGGGTAAAGAAGGGGGCGGGGCTTCACCACGTGACCGCACCGCCCCCTAGAGGGTCTCTTCCGGAGCTCCGTACCTGAGAGCTCCCCCCCGACTAGAGCCCTGTTTAAAACTATTATTATGAAACAACTAAAGAACTAATATTTTTAACCTATGTATTCTATTTGCCTGAAAAGAACCATCCTAGGGAGAAGAACACTCAAAATTTCAAAATTGCTGTTTTCGGGTTTCTGCGAGTTCCTCTTCTTTGCTTCTGGAAAGTTTAAGTCCTAGGACATTCAGTAAAGCTTTCCCTGTAATGATGTCCACAGCATTATATTTAAGCCCATTTTTGTAGACTTGAATATCCGAAGTTGGGGACCACCGGAATCTTATTTTGGCCTTGTTGAGTTTAGTAGTAACAAGAGAAAAGACCCGCGAAACTCGCGGGGTGGGGTGGGGGAGGAACTCAGCAGGCGGAGGAGGAAGAAGCAGGTAAGCTTCCCCCTCCCATCGGTAAGCTTCCCCCCTCCCACCAAATTGGCCAAGGAGGCTTGTACAGGCTGGAGCAAGTCTTTCACCAGTGTTACCATATCTTTAAGGAGACGTTCCTCTCAATTCTTTGTTTTGTTCTCTCAGATCTTTTCTAGTCAAGGGAGTTTCCTCCGGTATCAGGGGGTTTGGTGTCAAACTGTCTGCATTTTTCGTCAGCGCCATATTGTGGCTTTGTTTGGGGGATGGGGCCGTAAGTTTAGGAGGTTCAGAAGGCAAGAAAAAGTTTTTTACCGTTTGATTACCTTTGGTTTTCGATTCGTCCTTGCTTCCTGCGTATTTTCTAATACTTTTCCTCGGCATGTAGACTTGGGTAGGTGGTTTATTGATGTTATAGGAGGAGAGGGGATGGGAGCCTTTCCACTATGCGTCCGCCATGCGCCGCTTAACTCCGCCCTCCCCAAAAGGCCACAGTTTGTTGTTGTGTTCGTACCACACAGTTGAGACTGCTTCTTGCCTATAAACCAGGTTTTCTACCTAAGATTAAACTAGTGTCATGCAAACTATACTTTGGTGCAAGCCAGAAAGTCAAGGGAGGGATGGGCAGACTACATGAGCCTAAGAAGTCCTTAGTTGTTAGCAATCACCTTCCTTCACAAAGGAGCTTTAATAGTGTACAGACAAGTCTATAACTTCAAGTAAATAATGTAGGACAACATTTAGATATTAATAGGTGTAGACTGTACTGTAAAATCTGGCTGGGAATTTGTAGTGTGCTTTTAGGTGAGGATTTTAGAGCCTATTTGGAAGCTTGCAAGCACTGAAATTGTCTTATGTATAGTGATTTCAGCCGCCTAAGTATATTTGTTGATGTAATGTACATGTATTATTCTCTTTTTCCTTTCAGAGGAAGAATTTACCACTTCTTTTGAGCATTGGTTTACTGATCTTCTGGGGAACTTTGCTGCTAGGTTTTCGCTTCTACTGGATGGGGAACAAACCTCCCAGCTTTTCCAACTCCGACAACCCAGCAGCTGATTCAGACACTTTTCTAACACGAACTCTGACTTTTTTTTACCTACCAACCAAAAACCTTTGGCTATTGCTGTGCCCGGACACCCTTAGCTTTGATTGGTCCATGGATGCTGTGCCTCTTCTCAAAACAGTCAGTGACTGGAGAAATCTACACACAGTGGCCTTTTATGCTGGACTTCTCCTTCTTGCTTACTCTGGTTTGAAAAGCTCCAGCAAAGAGAGAGAAAGCAATGGGAAAAATATAACAAATGGCAAGCCGAATAGCAATGGTCATAACTTTGTATCAGAAATGGAATGCAAAAGCTTGGACATGAAGTCCAGCTTTCTGTCTAAAGAAGAAAATGGCATTAACAAACACTTGCCACAGAGACCACAGCTTCCTTCAACTGAGAACATTGTAGTTCTGTCTCTCTCCATGTTAATTGTGCCCTTTATTCCAGCCACAAACCTGTTTTTTTATGTCGGCTTTGTAATAGCAGAGCGTGTGTTGTATATACCTAGTATGGGCTTCTGCCTGCTGATTACGGTGGGCACCAGGGCCCTCTATATAAAAACCCAAAAGCGCTTTCTGAAGAACTTGATTTTTTTTGCCACTGCTGCATTAATTTTTTTGTATGGACTGAAGACTTTTGTCAGGAATGGAGACTGGCAGAATGAAGAGATGCTGTATAAATCAGGGATAAAAGTAAATCCAGCTAAAGGTAACAGTCTTTATTATTTGGGGTTTTTTTTGTTTTTTACAGAGTCTACTAACTATACTTTTATTTTCTGCTTCTGGGTTTAATAAATTTGGAAAGGATATGGCTCCTAGGTGTGCATTTATGAGCAGTATGAAAACACTATTGGTATAAAAAATAGAATACAAGTTAATTTTGATTGTATATTCAGAAGGATGAATATAGACAGGGGTGGGAAAGCAAGCTGTGAAGCAAAACAGTGGTGGAGAAAACTAATAAAAAAGGCTAATGAACATTAAAAAAACCCTAATGTGTACACAGTTTGAACTGCATTGTTCTTGAGGGATACTTAGGTAAATAAATCCACTACTTGAAGACAAGTAAAATTAAAACATGCTTATCGTTTAGTAATTACTAACTCATTACGGTGCACAGTCTCTAAGATATAACAATGCTAACAAAACACTGTCTTGATAGAAATACAGAGATGTGATAATATTCTTATACAAATTAGTCTCAGCCCTATGGATAGTCAGAATTCATTTTCTGGGTCTCATGTGTCTTGCAGAGAAGCACTCATCTTTTTGTTATCCAAAATGAGATACCGATGAGAAAAAGAGAGAAGCCAACAAAATGAAGGCATAATGGCAGCAATCCATTCTGGTCTTCCTGAGCACTGGTTGTAAACATGTCCTCCGTACTTTTTAAATAATTAACATTCTTTGTTATTACCTTTTTAAAATTTGTAATGTTTGTACAAATACAAAATAGATTAGTGTATACTATTAGAAACTTTCACTGTATTAACAGTATATTGAGAGTATTCATTTTAAAATAAACCATTACCAAAAGAACAAAATCTCTCTAAATCCATTTTGACCCTTCCATCCTTCAGAACCTTTAAAATATATTATTTTAGTTTATCACCTTTTATCCTTTTTAAATGTGTAAGTATAACCATTTATATTCCACCTTTTAATAAACATTTGTCGGTAGATAGTTCTGTTTTCTATTTAAATACTCAGTTATTAATAATATTAACAGGCTAATTACCAGTTCATTCTTTTCCATGTTCTAATAACATAGCTACACAATCTAGTGGAATATCTTGTTCTGTTTTCTGTTTTAAAATTCCAACTCCTTTTCAGCTGTAGCACAGCTTATTATTATTTATGTTCTCCATGAACTGCTTAAACTCCTGGCATACAATTTTGCCCACTATTGGGGAAAGATATACTCAGGAGAACCAGCTGAAAGGAATCTTCTACCACTGCCTTAAAACTGTCATATGCAAAGGCCATTCTGTTTGACCTGAAGCTTGGCAGGCAACCTGTCAGTCATTAGCTGCTGAAAAACTGCAGTGGGGATTGAGACACCCACCTCTGCATCAGTTGTCATGCCTGTCCATTTGCTATTTTGATATAATCAGGGCTTTTTGTTAAGGGTATCTTTAAATAACTCATGAACTTAGCTGAGTCATGCCTTATTATAGTGTTAGGGTTTGAGAGTAGGGTGGATGTAGTTAATTAAGGATTCTGGAAGACTGAAGTTCTGTCAAGAGAAAGGAGGGAGAAGAGCAGACTGGATAAGTATCTCTTCTGTATAATATGCAGTCTGACAGTTCCTTGGGGTTTTTTGTTCTTAGAATAAGGGACCAATGCTTCTTTTTAGAAAGGTGTTTACATTTAGTCTTACCAGCTAAGGTTTTAGCATAAATGGTCTATATTAAAAGGGTGCTAAGTATTGTACTGCATGTGCATGCACACACACCATGTCTATTTTTATCTCAGAACAAAGTTTGAGTCCAGTGACACCTTTAAGACCAACAAAGTTCTGCTGCTTCAGACCGACACAGCTACCCACCAGATTCTATTTTTATCTTAGTTTGCCATCTTAAATTCTGATGTAGGAAAATAATTGAACAAAGGCTTAACATTTGAATAAGTACATGTACCTAGAAAAATCAGTCTTATTTAACCGCATGAATCTGATGTCAATAAAATACTAATTTGAGCCCTGTTTAGGTGATAGTTTTTCAGAGGAAAATCCCAGTTTGTTAAGAGTGAACTTGAAAGAATGATAGAAAAAGGATTCTTCCACCAATCCTGTCAAATCTGGAAATGTATTATTTGCTTCCCCACCGTTAGCTATTCAAAAGTTAACAATGTATTTACTTGCTAGCCCGCCTTTTGCCCCAACGTGGCTCCAAAGCAGCTTGCATCATTCTGTCCTCCATTTTATCTTCACAACAGGGTTAGGCTGAGAATGTGGGACTGGTCCAAGGTCACCCAGTGAGCTTCCATGGCAGAGTGGGGATTTGACTCTGGGTCTCCCAAATCCTAGTCTGACACTCTAATGGCTGCATCACATTGGCTCTAGCTTGGGAGCCATGAAGGAATATAAGGAGGGGGAACAGTTTGGAAATCCCACCCTGCCCCTCAATACAGTGTAATAATCTCTAAATTCTGAGGGGCTTGGATAGGCAGATTTCATACTTCTTTCTCGTTTTACTGGCATCTGGGTGCATTCAACATACTGTCATAAGAACATAAGAGAAGCCAATGCTGGATCAGGCCAATGGCCCATCCAGTCCAATACTCTGTCACACAGTGTCCAAAAATACCAGGTGCCACCAGGAGATCCACCAGTGGGGTCAGGACACTAGAAGCCCTCCCACTGTTGCCCCCCTCCAGCACCAAGAATACAGTGCATCACTTGCCCCAAACTGAGAGTTCCTATCTATATATTGTGGCTAATACCCACTGATGGACCTCTGCTTCATATGTTTATCTAATTCCCTCTTGAAGCCATCCATGCTTGTAGCTGCCACCACCTCCCGTGGCAGTGAATTCCATGTGTTAATCACTCTTTGGGTAAAGAAGTACTTCTTTTTATCTTCTGGACTGTATTTAGTTCTCATTAAGTTGGTTTTTGAAGGGTATTTTTTTCTTTTGTTTAATATAAAAGGGGAATTTTTCTGTATAACTGCAGTAACCCCTTTGTTTTCTGTAAGTGGCCTGGTTTTGTGGCTCCAGGCATCCACCCAGGAGCCAGTCAGCTTTTTAATAGCTGTAGTGATAGCTACAGTTAGAAGATAGCTTTCAGTCTAGCATTCAGGCTTTCAGTCTAGCATTCATGAGAATATTACACATATGTAACAGCCACAAAAGCTATTAATTAATTAAGCTATTGCTGCTTAATGTATTACATATAGGATGCGGTCAGACAGTATGCTGAGAGCGGGTTAGATTGCTCCAGTTCTAACCGGATTATATTTGATCTGGATAATCACGATCACACTTACCTCCCTTATCCCGCCTCACCATGCAGTCACGTCCCTCCCCGGCGTCTACACTACCGACACACAGGAGCGTGCATCAGTGGGGTTTTTAAATTATTTTTCTCAGTTTGCGCATGCGCATAGGCTCCCCTCCGTAGAATGGGGAGCGAAACTATCATGGTGCATGCGCAGAACCACCAGGGCAACTCAATCCAACCCCTCCAACAAAATACTTCCCTTTAAAAGTTTGGCCCAAAAATGACCTCCGTGAGATCCCGAACTCATCTAAGCTCTAAAACAAGTGACCGTTTAAATGTTGGTTTTCAAAACACGGTAGTGGAGCTCTGCCTATGTGCATACCGCCAATGCATTTTTTAAAATGGCGGGCAAAAAGCGGAAGCCTTGGGCATCTTTCGAGCGGGGAGGGGGTTTAAACCGGAAGTGACTTGACACCGGAGGAGCGATCACACAGGGGAAAATGTGACTTTAAACGGGAGAGCTGAGAAAACACCACTCTGGGACCCGGTAACAAAATACTCTGGGTTAAAGCAGTTTTGAGCCAGAAACCAACGGCTGGGGATGCTAGGCAGATGTTGACTGTGTGATCGTGCATATAAAATCCATTTCTGAAGCGTGACAACACCAGATCAAACGGTGCCAAAATTCCCTTTAGAATGTTAACAATGATAGTAGTAACAAATTACTGTTAGGTCGGTGGGACAATATATACATATAACAAATTTTGGAATAATTGGCCAGCAGCAGGTTACGTAAGCCATACCCATGACATAGTTAATGAAAAAAATAATAATTTATGAATGTTAGAATGATGTGTTGTTAGTCTCAAGTTGGTACAGGCATTAGCAAGTATTTGCTGATATAGAAATACATAAAGCAGGCATGAGGTTATGTGAAAGACCTTGGCCTGAGATCTGGAGAATCACTGCTAGGCTGAGTAGGCAGTACTGACCTTGATGTACCAATGGTCTGATTCAGTATAAAGCAACTCCATGTATGTTTGAGTGAATCGATAGAAGTAAATGTGCGAAATGACTTTTTCCCCCAAGAAAAAGCTTTACAGTAACAGAATTAATCTGAAAGAGACTGGCAGATTGTTCCTATTAGATAAAACAAGAGAGGAGAACCGCGAAACTCGCGGGGGGCGGGAGAGCTCTGCAATCAGCAGACGGAGGAGGAAGCAGGAGCAGGTGAGCTTTCCCACCCCATCCTGCCGGTTTCGCCGTCTCCTTCCCCCCGCCCCCCCGCTGCAAAAGGAGGCCCGCGCGGCTTGGAGCCGGCGGGCCTCAGCGCCCCCCCGCCACCTGGAACTCGACGTTCCCCCCCTCCCGCCCCCCGGCT